AGCGTAGCACTAACCGGATTTAAATGGAGTGCTCCATTTGCAGAATAGGGGCATTTAAGGATTGCACTCGTATACCTCACCGTGTAAAATTTTGAGGCCATCATCACTCTCATAGTTCTTCTATTCTCCACGAGTGCCAACTTTGATTTGCCAATGGGGCTTACTCAGAACTCTGAGCCTCATTGGTCGTGGCCCATGTGTTGACAGGTGCGATATTTGATCAGGTGTGGAAGCCGCCTACCTAGTCATTCGATTGCCGTTAATGATGACAGTCGATGTCCGTTGGTGATTGGCGCTGGATTGCGGAGCGAAGTTCAACGTCCGGAGTCAAGAATGAGAAGAAGAGGGACCTTCCTTTTCACGGCGGCAGAACTGGATTTGCATGGAAGGGGAGAAGATAGCGACGTGATCTTGCTCGGTCACTGAGTGAGATTCAGCGGCCCACAGCAGTTTGATATAAATAAAAGGATTTCTGGTAGTCAAGTAAGGGGCTGCCCATATGCAATGCGGTTCTAAGCAGTTTTAGACCCCCATTCCTCCCCTCCCCTAATCATCCATATTCATTTTCATATAGTTGTATATAGCATTTGTGGAAAATATCCACTAAAAGAGTGTTTTTGCTTAAAACAAATTTGATATACCTAGTATAATTTTCTTATTTTTTCATAAAATTGCGACATAATTATTTAGACAGAACAACAACACAAGAATTATTTAGAGGTTTTCTAAACATATAAAAATTTGTTTTATAGTACAGTACCCGTTCGATTTTGGTACAATTATATTTTGGCAATCATTCGATTTTGGCACCGTGCCAAAATAGAACAAATTTTGAAAATAATGTATTTTTGCTCATTGTAATTGTCGTGACGCTTGGTTGATTTTCCGGCCATCTTCATCGCGGAGCAAAAACAGCACACGTCCGCGTGCCAAAACAATAGTTAACGGAATGCCGTTCGGATCTTTTCGTTTGTAACTTAACCCTACGCGACGACCAAACGCTCTCCCAAACACTCAGCGTATTCTCGGTGCCTCTCTCAATTTTGCACCCGATCGAATGATTCTCTCATATTTTGCTCCCGAAGCTCAGATTCTTCGGCAACAAGTGACCGAACTCTAGCAAGCGCGGTAACGAGATTCTTTTTTTCCCTTTATTATCACACGCACACACTCTCAGCACTCTCAACACTCACATTCTCTAGGTAATTGTAAAATCCGACACGAAGAGACGTTCGGAATACCCCAGCTGGAGGATTATTTCACTCTCGCTCTCACTTTTTTTAACACTGAAAGATTTTTGTTTTCATTTTACCTTTATCCACTACATTATTTTCCGCCTCTACTCTGATTATTCCATGAAATAGTCAAATTCAATGATTTTTTTATGCATATATTTTTAGATTACATTTTGACAATGTCTACAGTTATTATCTCTACGTTTTCACTCAAAGACGCTATAAATGTAGTCACTGTTGTATCTAGCAGGTTTTTTTAGATTTGACCGACTACGAAGATTCGTGTCCGATGACATATGAGGGCTATTTCTACTAGAACCTGCTGCAAAATCCGGCGATAGGTTATCAGCTGATACAGCCACCGAGCTATCCGGCAATTCCTTAAAGTCCAACGATCCATGACTTTCCATAAATGAAGCTCTTTTAACATCCTGTATGTTTCGTGCGTATTGAATGCCATTTTGACTCACGATCACTACTTTAGCTCCCTGTCTTGCAACAACAGTATATCGTTCTGAAGAAAAAACTGGGTCGGTCTTAGCCTTCCTTTGCTGACTCAGATGAACAACATCGCCAACACCAATATCAGAGGCTTTTGCGCCTCTAGTCTTATCTGCGTGTTGCTTGCTTAGTAGTTTTTGTTCTGCGTCTTTCTCCCGTGCATCAATACGATCCAAATCGCGATTGGATGGACTTCCCCACAGACTAGGGAAAGTTCCCCGAAACTTCCAACCAACCATCATTTCAAAAGGTGTGATGTTCAATCTAGCGTGCGGGACCAGAGTGTTATGATTATGTACGTACTTTTCCAAAGCTCTCCTCCAGTTGGAACCATCAATCTTGGACGCAGCTACCGCTTTGATAAGGCCCTGGTTCTGTCTTTCTACTGCTCCGTTAGACTGTGGACTCAGAGGTACTGCTTTTCGAACTCTCACGCCTTTTTCCTCCCAAAATGTACAAAAAGAAGAACTTTGGAATGGGGGTCCATTATCGCTCTGGATGATTCGTGGAACGCCCCAACGCTTGAAAATTTCACATAGCGCTGCATTTGTACACTCAGCGTTTGTCCGGCGCATTTCGACTACTGAAAGAAAACGTGAATATATGTCCACAACAACCAGAAATTCACCTGAACCACATCCAGGAATTTCAAGGAAATCAATCTGAATGACTTCCCAAGGCGCATCTGGCAGTTCCCGAGAAGAAAGTGGTACCTGACGATTTTTCCTGGCTAGCTGGCAACAAGTTGAACATTGTTTTACAAACTGTTCGGTTTCAGTGGCCATTCCTGGCCACCAAAAAAACTCCCGCATTATCCTCTTCATCGCGACTTCTCCTATATGCCCAGCATGCGCGGATACGAGAGCTTTCGTTCGCAACGCAGTTGGTAAAATGATTTTGTCACCGTTGAAAATTAAGTATCCAAGATAGTGCAGTGTTTTTTTCTGAGCTTCATACCTGCGCAATTCTCGTGGCCATTTTCCGTATTTCAAAGCCTTCCGCAGTCTCTTAAGTTCCTCGTCATCCTCCGACTGAACTTCGATATCTCCTAATGTGATGTCCATACACCCTGCGTCCAATGAGAACAAATAATGGCCTTCACTATCGTCTTCAAATGGTGTTGCTTCCTGGGATGCTTCAATCAGTCTTGATAAAGCATCCGCAATGTTTTCAGATCCGGGTACTCTTTTTATTGCGAAATCGTATGGCTGGAGACGGAGTGACCAGGCTTCTGCTCGCGATACAGCTCGTTTTCCAATTCGATGGCCACTTTGAAAGATAAATTCATTTGCCTCAGCATCCGTTCGAACGACAAAAGAAATTCCTAGTACATGAAAATGTAACTAAGTATTGGACATATATGCATCAATGGATTTTAAATTAATGTTACCTGTCAGATAGAATGTAAACCGTTCAACTCCCCAGACAACGGCAAGCGCTTCTTTGTGCGTATGAGGGTATTTTTGTTCAGTAGACGTTAACGACTTAGATGCACATGCTATGATTCGTGGAACGTCATTCTTGTTGAACTGAATTAAAACCGCCCCAAGCCCTATTGCAGAGGCATCAACGAATAATTCAGTTCTATCCGTAGCACAAAAATAGCCCAACCTTTTGATGGCATTCGCAGCTCGGTTTTGTAAACTTACAAACTCCTGTTCTTCCTTCGACGTCCAGTAGAATACATCAGCGTTAGCCAATGCACGAAGTCGTTCAGTTTTTGTAGCACGATCCAAAATAAACTTGTCGATATAGGTAATAAGCCCAAGGAAGCTTTTTACTTCAGAGCACGTTTCAGGTCTCCGAAAATTTTGGATTGCGCTCAACTTTTCATCCTCAATCTGCCATCCACTCGGCGTTAAAATGAATCCAAGAAATTTCACAGATTGGCTAGCAAAGATACATTTTGAGGTATTAATCTTCACGTTATGTTCATCGAGACAGGCTAACACTGCAGCTAAATTCGTGTCGTGTTCTTCTTTAGTTATGCCATGAACAATAATATCGTCCAGATAATTTTTAACTCCTTTGCAACCGCCTAGAATCTTTCTCTGCAACACCTCCTGAAAGATGTCTGGCGCATTGCAGAGCCCAAAGGGCAGTCTGACATAACGGAACATACCAAACTCCGTGAAAAAGTTAGTCAAATGACGACTGTTCTCATGTAATTCTATGTGGAAAAAGGCATTCGAAAGATCTATTGTCGAAAACCAGTTAGACCCGTTCAGATCTACCAGGATTTTTTCCAATGTTGGCATGCTAAACGGTGTTCTGTTAATGTAGCGGTTTGGACCACGCAAATCAATAACGAGCCGAATATCATCTCGTCCTTTGGGCACCACCAACATGGATGAACAGAATGAGGTGTCCATGTCTTCGGTGACTCTCTCTATGATATTGGCTGAAATCAAGTGCTGAAGTCTCTGCTCGACTAAAGGTTTCACGGCAGGTGGAATGTTCATGAATATGTTCCTACATGGAGGCCTCGTCTTGTCGTAGCTAATTTCGACTGGTGAAATGTTGAACTTAGGGAAAGTCTCGTTTGCTTCAATGATAGATATTTCTCTCACTGCGTTCCACAAAGGAAACCGTGAATTTTCTAGTGACACTGGCACTTGCAATCCAAGCAGAAGGATACTATATCGAGTTGCTGTTTGTCTGCTTAAAAGAGATCGGCACTCTTTCACAACGAAAAACTTTTCCAATAGGATTGGTCGATCTTCAGATACGTATAGGAATGCTTCGAACGTATACAGCACTTTTATCTCCCCGGCTGAAGCATAAGCCTTAAGGGATCGATCGGATCGTTCTTGAATATTGTATAACCCTTCCTTGTATTGTTGGTTTCCATTAAGTACCTTAAATGATTGTTCAGTCAAGGTGTTAACCTGAGCACCAGAATCAATCAGGAATTCACAACTCATCCCTGCCACCTTAGCACTTATTACTCCGCAATCTTGTGAATTTCTTGTAACAGCGATCGAAACACCAAAACACGGCAGTATGTGTTTTTCTGTTATCTGGTAAATAAACATCAATGTTACGGAGTGGAAATTTCAAATTTTTATATGAATTCAAGTCATAACACTTTAAACTAATGAAATACCGTATGAATGAAGACTTAGGACTTTTTTTCTACTTGTTAAATAATAATTCATCATGTCCAATTTTATATTTATTGTTTCATCAAAAGAAAATTACATCGAATTCAACGTTAACGTAACTTCATAGAGTATTTCAGGAGTGTATGAAATGAAGATTTAATCAATACTTATTGTCACCTACATCATCTTCGGTTGGTCTCTCTTCCTCCTTTGCGTTTCCTTCCATGTCCACCATTGCAATCTTCTTTGCTTCAACGTACGAACTGTCTGCTTCACCCACACGCTTGTTTCCCGTCCGGATTAATGTCTTGCAGGCTCGCTTGAAATGACCTTTGCGTCCACACTTCAAGCAGGTTTTATCAATCGCACTGCAATCATTCGGCCTGTGAAACACACTGTTGCACCTGAAACAACGTTCTCCTCCAGAATTTTTCCACCCAGGTGTCACAGGTCTGCTAGGAACCAGTTCGTCTCTACGTCGAAACTGTTGATTTCCGAATCGTCCGCGGCTCGTCAAGTCTCGAGTGAAATCCTGACGGTCGCTTCTTCCTTGACCCACGCTCACCGAAGCGACTGTAGCTTGTTTTACCGTTCCATGTCTAAGGCGATAATATTCCTCGTTCATGTTGACAGCTTGAATTTGACGAACTTTGTCAACCAAATCCGCCAGCGTTCCTTTACGACTAAGCATCTTGAGTGCCATTGTTCGCACTTCCTTATTTCTCGCGTGTTCTGCAACGGTGCTCACGATCTCCTCAAATTCCTTCCCGTCACCAAACTCACACATCCTGGCCATGGCACCGACCCTCATGATGAAAGACAAATCGGATTCATCCGGTTTTTGGATCATCAATGCCAGTTTGCGACGATGTAACATGATGTCCGACCCGGACCCGAAATATGTCTTCAATCGGTGCATGGCGTTCGTGAATGGATGGGCTTCGGGATCTGGAGCATCAACCATCGTCGTCGTATTTTTGTAGATTTCCATTAACTTGAAGCCTGCTTTGACTTTGAACACTATGAACTTGGTTGGCTCATCAGTTATGCCAGCGAGTGTCATTGAGTCGAGTAATAAATCCTTCCATGATTCGAACTCAAACTTTCCTATCTCTTCACCTTCTACAGACGACTTGCATTCCGGAACATTGACGGTGGAAATCGAAATTTGGTTAACCGACGACATGAAGCGGGAAACTTCCATGGTGGTCTCACCACCACCGCTGCCATTGCGTTGCGTACTTGAAGGGCCAATTTCACCCGCAAATTCAACGCTGTTTACTTCAACCACATTATTCTTATTTGCACTCAACGTCGTCTGCAGCGAAATGATTGTCTCCTGAGCTTTTTCCAGTTGTCCACACATTTCCACAACTTTGGCATTCGATACCGCGAGCTCTTTCAATGCCATGTCGAGTTTCGAATTTTTCTTCTTTGTTTTCCTGTAATCCATAACACAAAAGAAAGACAAATGCTGGTGTCAACTTCATTCTTTAATTTTTTTTCCGCACATTTAATCTTGTACTTGACATGTGAATGATTTTAATGATTCGTTTTTCTGTGCACTCAATATTTTTTTTTTTATCATGCCACCTTCCACTCCGTTTTTTTTTTTTTTTTAGTAATTTTCATACATATTTTTTTCCAATTCCTTCCACTTTTTTTTTTGCCTTTACCATGAGACCTACCGCTCTTTATTTTTGGATTTTTTTTTTATTCTTTACGTGCCTGAAGACCTATCGCTTCCTTTTGTTCTGGCATATCTTTTTTTTTTCTTGCCATGAGACCTACCGCTCTTTTTGTTTTTGGCCATTTTTTTGTTTACATGCCTGGAGACCTATCGCTCCCTTTTATTTTGGCATATATTTTTAGATTTCGTTTTAACAATGTCTCAATATACTTACCGATTGGGAGCGTCTTCAACCACGCCATTGTCGTGACGCTTGGTTGATTTTCCGGCCATCTTCATCGCGGAGCAAAAACAGCACACGTCCGCGTGCCAAAACAATAGTTAACGGAATGCCGTTCGGATCTTTTCGTTTGTAACTTAACCCTACGCGACGACCAAACGCTCTCCCAAACACTCAGCGTATTCTCGGTGCCTCTCTCAATTTTGCACCCGATCGAATGATTCTCTCATATTTTGCTCCCGAAGCTCAGATTCTTCGGCAACAAGTGACCGAACTCTAGCAAGCGCGGTAACGAGATTCTTTTTTCCCTTTATTATCACACGCACACACTCTCAGCACTCTCAACACTCACATTCTCTAGGTAATTGTAAAATCCGACACGAAGAGACGTTCGGAATACCCCAGCTGGAGGATTATTTCACTCTCGCTCTCACTTTTTTTAACACTGAAAGATTTTTGTTTTCATTTTACCTTTATCCACTACAGTAATAACACTGTAATAACTTTTATGTCATAAAGATAACTAACGGCAGTCAAAAATCAACGAAATCATATAATGAGAGAGAGAAGGATTAGTATTTTCCATTTAATTCCACTACTTTATTTGCTTATCCTTGACAGATACGGGTATACAGGTATTCCACTAAGACGCCCACATTCATCAGGATTCATCATGGCAACCAAGCCGTCGGAGCCAAATAAATTCATCGGATTGAAGAAAACCATCGCATCGCTTCACAAGGACGTAGCATTTCTGAAGAAATGCCAAAAATATAAGGTTATACCTATAAGCCATAGGATTAAGGTACGGACACCCACCCCACCCAGCGTAGTAAAGAGGATGGAAGCAGAGTTCATCAAGGATAGCATCAGACGGCTATATAGCAAACTGGACATGAAGGTTTTGGAATGTTATTATCTACATCTCAAATTGGCCAAGGAGTATCCAATTAAATTCCAGGAGTTTCTGTCTAGGGCCAAGGTAGCAGAGGAGTGCGAATCGGATAGGAAGCGGAAGCTGCAGGATAGGAAGCTAAACAGACTACGGCAGGAGTCTCAACGGAGACGGACGACACACCGAACGGGTGAGCAGATCCCATCAACCATCACCACGACGCCGAGGGTTCACTCCATTGATGGGTTGGTTGTCAACCGATCGACGACCGCATTCACGGAAGAACAATTGACACACCTCAACAAGGGGCTAGGATACGCGGTTACAACCAAGCCAGACGTGGAGCAGATCATCATTGACGTAGAAACAGCGATTACCAAGACGCTTCCAACAACATCACAGAATACGGTTAGGACTATCACATCGAACATAATCAAGGACGGACAGGACGGACGCGCCAACGAAAAAGAAATTCGGATTGTAAAGGAGCTAAAAAGTAAAGCAGTATACTACGTAAAGGCAGACAAGGGAAACGCGGTCGTTATCATGGACAAGGACGATTACGATAATCAAATGATAACGAAGATTAACAACGGACCGTATAGACAGCTTCGAGTAGACCCCTTACAGAACATAGTGAAACGCGTGGAGAAAGCACTGAAGGAGTGCAAATCGATATTAGGAGATGGAGCAGGTCGTATACGGGAACCCAATCCCATTCTACCCAGGATCAAAGGTCTTCCCAAAGTCCACAAACCAGGAAATGAAATGCGAGAGATCGTGTCTGCAGTTGGTTCCCCCACCCACAAACTAGCGAAGTGGCTAGTCAAAGAGTTCCAGAGTATGCCGAATCAGTTCCAGAGTAAAGCAGTTAGTAACACCCAGGAGTTCACCCAGCAACTACAATCTTCAGGAGACATCAACGAGGACGAGATTATGGTATCTTTCGACGTCACAGCTCTTTTTCCCAGCGTACCGGTCAAGGAAGCGATCAACCATTTGGAGGACTGGCTATTAACACAACGAGAGGATGCAGCATGGAGAAACAAGGTTCGGACGTACCTTAAGCTGACCCGCCTTTGTATGGAAGAGAACTACTTCTCTTTCCGAGGTAACTTCTACAAGCAGACGAAAGGAGCCCCAATGGGAAACCCCCTATCCCCCTTCTTGTGTGAACTTTTCATGGCCAACTTGGAGACAATCCTGAAGGAGAAAGGACTATTACCAAACCGTTGGTGGAGGTTTGTTGACGATATCTTCAGCGTAGTTAAACGAGAAGCCCTTCCACAAATTTTAGATGAGATCAACAGAATTCATAAGGATATCAAATTCACTCACGAGGTAGAAAAAGACGGGAAACTCGCATTTCTCGATCTTCTAGTCATCAGGGAATCGTCATCATCTTCCTCGCTTGAATACGAAATTTACAGGAAACCAACAAGCACCAAAAGAGTTATCCCCTATACTTCCAACCATTCGTTCCAGCAGAAAATGGCCGCCTTTCACCACATGATTCACCGAATGCAGACTCTTCCACTCAGCGATACAGGAAAGGTTAAGGAATTACAGTACATCTTCGAAACAGCAAGACTCAACGGATACAAGGAGACCACAATCCAGGCAATCATCGATAAAAAAGCGAGAATTCTACAAAGGAGATTATTTACAACCCTCACCACAGCACCTGAACCATTGAAACGAGTGTCCGTTCCATTTGATCAAGATATTACTTGTAAACTAAGACCACAGTTAAAACAATTCGGATTAGATTTAGTTTTCACCAGTAGACATAACCAGTTGAAATCATTGTTAGGATCCGCTAAAGACCCAGTTAATGTTTTAGGTAAAGCAGGTGTATATAAAATAAGCTGTAATCATTGTAACAAAGTATATGTAGGACAAACCAAGAGAACTTTAGCAACTAGATTTAAAGAACATATAGCGGAGGTTAATAAGGCCAAAAAGCAAGAAGAAAAGGGCCTAACATATGATTTCAAATCAAAGGTTGCAGAACACATATTCACAGAGGACCACCAACTATCGACGGAGGACATAACGATTTTACGAACCGTATCTACACCATGGAAATTGGATGTTGCAGAAAGCCTCGAGATCAACAAACAACGTAATTCAACTTTACTCAACAGGGATCAAGGAAACGGACACACATGGCTTTTCAAGTTACTACCTAGGACACATCAACGAGTAAGCAGCGGAGTACCTGTTCCTATAGAAAATTAAATTTAAGTTTACCTAGTTTCTAAGTGAAAATGTACCTGTGTTAATATATATTCGGTAAATGCGATGTTTTTCTTCAGTCGAGTATTAGTACAAGACACTGAAGAAGTCTGCACATTGTAGACGAAATACGCGTATCTGTCAAGGATAAGCAAATAAAGTAGTGGAATTAAATGGAAAATACTAATCCTTCTCTCTCTCATTATACAGGTATTCCACTAAGACGCCCACATTCATCAGGAAATCATAAATTATGTTTCAAAATAGAACCGTTCGATTTTATCAACACTAAATTTTCAGGCTTGTTACAAGAATCGAACGGGTACACTATTACTGTTCCACATTGCAGCAGATGCTATCATAACTAATTTAAAGTATGTTCTTTTTCTATTTTATTATATAATTAATCCTTAATCAAGATTAAAATTAATAATTTTAAAATAATCTAATCTTACATCATAATCCTTTTCAATATTGCAGCGGGTATCTCGTTTTGGTAGCTTAACTGTCTAGTATCTCTAGTCTAGTCTAGAATTGAGGTCTGAATCTTGGGTTGAAGGGAGTTTTCCTAAAAGTGTCTGGCTGAGGAAATGTGGAAAAATGCTATATTAATATTTCAGAAAAGTTAATTTTTTTGCTGCCGGGGACAAGTATCGATGCATCTTTACCAGCGAGATATTCGACTCTCAAATACAGTTATATAATGATTATAACATGTTTTATATAACAGTGCAGGGGAAGTTGGATGGTTGCATAAATCAACAGA